TATAGAAGCTCTAGGTCTAAGCAGATAAACCTCCAAATTAGTACTTTACATCATCTTTACAGTAAATGCCTTTTGTATTGATCACTAATAATCCCTCTCAAATATATATTGCCACACCATTGTCTAGTCCTTAAGCTACTGTTGCCAGTCTGTTTCTATAAAGTAAAGGTGTAGGGTATTAATCACCTGGTGATCCAAGCTCAGCCTGGAAAGTCCCACCTTTAAAGGCCAAAAAGGTCATAGAATCATAGAATCACTAAGGTTGGAAAAGACCTAAAAGATCACCCAGTCCAACCGTTCACCTATTCCCAAGCTCCTACTAAACCATGTCCCTCAACACAACATCCAGTCTTTCCTTGAACACCCCCAGGGTCGGTGATTCCACCACCTCCCTGGGCAGTCCATTCCAGTGCCTAACCACCCTTTCTGAAAAGTAATACTTCCTCATGTCCAGCCTGAATCTCCCCTGCCGTAGCTTGAAACCATTCCCCCTGGTCCTATCACTAATGACATGAGAGAAGAGGCCAACCCCCAGCTCACTACAACCTCCCTTCAGGAAGTTATAGAGAGCAATGAGGTCTCCCCTGAGCCTCCTCTTCTCCAGGCTGAACATTCCCAGCTCCTTCAGCCTCTCCTCATATGGCCTGTGTTCCAGACCCCTCACCAGCTTTGTTGCTCTCCTTTGAACACATTCCAGGGCCTCAATATCTTTCTTGCAGTGAGGGGCCCAAAACTGGACACAGTACTCGAGGTGCGGCCTCACTAGTGCTGAATATAGGGGAACAATCACCTCTCTGCTCCTGCTTGCAACACTGTTTCTGATGCAAGCCAGGATGCCATTGGCCTTCTTAGGTCTTAGCATGAACAGTAAACTTAGAGTTTACCTTTACGAATGTGCAGGGTTGTTTTTGTGTTGTGATTTCTTGGCAAAACTCCACCTATGTAACAAAACCAATCTTTGAGGTATTCTCTATACCTTGAGAAAAAGCATTTTAAATTAGCAGAACAATTTCAAACCACATTGTGCCTAGCTTGTACTCATGGGTACTCTCAGAGAAGCTAATTAGGGGTTGTCTGCCATAGACCACATGGCATTCTGCAGTACTCACCCACATAAATAGAGAAGGTGAATGGTTAAAATCAAACGTCCCCAACATGAAGCTGCTGCCAGGAGTTGCATTCTCAGGAGGAGGGTCTGGGTCTGTTGCTGCTTAAAATGAATGACATTTCAACTTTTCCTTAAGTCATTAGAAGAAATAGCTGAATGCAATCAGTAATGGAGTTTACACAGTTTTTCTCTGGCTCTGCAAACCACGATGGTAGTGTCTCACTCCGATTTACAGGAGGGAGATGAGGTTCTTTTAATATCTGTACACCTGGCCTGAGATTAAGAAATAACGGTTCAAATGTTCTTCCAACCATTTTATTACAAATCCTAATCAGGGAGATGGGGAAGGGAAGGAGGGCGATAGAAAAGATAGGAAACAAGCAAGAATTGCGTAAAGCGGGGATACTCACCACCAGGATCCAGCAGCATCCCCTTGCACAAAGTTTGAAGGTCCAAGGCAAAAGCAGAGGGGGGGGGGAGCAGCAGCGTGGCCGGACTTGGGCAGCAAGCAGGTAGCAGGAAGAAGTTGCAGAGCCAATCTGTGAGGAAGCAGCAGAACTCAGGTAGCAGGCCCAGGAGAGTCCATCAGCGTGCAGGCTTCAGCATTGTGGTTGAGCACAGAGCAAGTCCAGAAAGGAGAGAGGCAGGTTGTGAGGCTTCTCATGTCAGAAACCTGTTCTTCTTCATGAGGAGTCTGTTGCCAGAAAAACCTAAACTTATGATTGTAGGTCCCCTTTTTATCCTTCTTCTTCTGCCATCGTGGCATTCCTGGGTGCTTGGGTTAGAGTCGTGTGCAGCACCTCCTGAGACAGCCATCTTCCTCGAGATAAGTTCACACAAAAGACTGCTTCACAGCCATTAAGATGCAGTTTATCTCTCTCTCGTTGCCCCTGGCCTTGTCCGTCTGCGTCCCTCAGACAAAGGATTACACAACCCTTGCCCAGGACTTGTCCATCAATGTTCTCCAGACAAACGATTTCTCAACCCTTGCCCAGGACTTGTTCATCTGTGTCCCCAGCAAGCTTTGAGACAATTATGTAAAAGAAAAATCTTTTACAGGTAGTATTAAAGCAGCGCCATTATTTTGCACAACTAACAGTGAACCAGCAGGCAATGTTTCACAGTGCAAACAAGCAGCTTTCTTCTTAGTCTTCTTCCCCCTATTCATTTACTTAAAAGAAAGGCAGGGAATACACTGACATAAAAACAAAACAAAGAAACAAAACCTAAAGGTGAAATATAAGAAGAGTGCTTTGCTTTCCTGTACGAATTTTCACCGTTCTCAAAGCAATTTCTTAGCATGAGCAGTCCACACAGGCATGCAAAGAGTTCTTAAAAATTCACAGGATGAGAGCGCTACCTATGTTTGAAGGTATGTTGCTTAAATTATGTCTTATAACCAGTTAATCCTCAAGTGAATAAAAATAATCTGTACTGAAGCAGGTTTTCATTGAATAACTTGAGAAAATTAACATTATACTAATATTTGTCATAATGGCAAAAATAATCTTAATAATTTTTAATAGTTCAGAAAAAAAATATTCAAAGATGTATATAACTTTTTCAAGTTTCCTAAAATCTGCTTTGCATTCAAAAACAACTATTTTCTATTCAGAGTATTCTTAAATCCTTCGTAAGCCTCAAACTGACTTTTTTGTTGTTGCTGTTATGGAAAGAGGGATGGGAAAGTGGAGAGGCCTCTTTCTTTCTCTTAAGTTTGCATGACATTTAAAAATCTGAGTGCTGGCCTCTTTGAGATTCCCTGAAAACAATTTCTTTGCATTCCTTAAGAAGGGAAAGAAGATTTTTACAGATCCTTTTCTCTGTTTATTTAATAATTATTGCGTAGTCTCAACAGTTCTTTACTAGCTTCAGAGTTTACAGCTTAAAAGCCTTTTTTTTTTATAGGGAATTTGCTTTAGCTAGTGTTCAGTGCTTTCTTACCAATATTATTTAAAAATATTTAGGCTATTATAGCATATCAGAAAATCTAAATCTGCATTTCAGAGCTGACTGCTAGGACTAGAATTAATAAGTAAGGATTTGCAGACAGTGAAGACTTTACCCAAAATCTGCTGTCACCAAAAACACAAGGGTGGCACATATTTTCTACAGGTTTTCTTAAGAAGTCTGAAAAAATTTACTTGGAAAAGCAATCAATATAGGCTGTTTTTTCCCTGATATAATTTAGAAATAGCTATTCCTTCATATTTACCAGAAACACAGGGTAGTCTTCTACAACCTGAAAGTAATTGAAATAATATTATGACAATACTATGCTTTCTAATTTGCAGTCTCAATTTACAAACTCTCACGAATCAAAGAGAGTAAGTCTCAGAATTCAGCTCCTTGTGGAATCTCAAGTCAGTTCCTGGGTGTTAACAAATTGTGAGGCTTTTTGATTGCACCATCACACACTGCTTTGCTCATGTCACTTCAGATGCATCATGGCACAGATTAAACAATGCTTAGCTACAGATGAGCTCCTTGGTTTCTTTAATTTTATGAAGTATGGTTCCAGATCTTATTTACTTTTCACAGTACTTATATATTCCTGAAACAACAGATTAATTTCTTCATAGACTCTTCCATTATGGTTGTTACTATTATCTTGGAATAATACTGCAACACTCATGAGAGTTTATGATCATTTTTTCAGCTGGAGAACCAATGCACGCATGTATTGAAGGGAAAAATAATCAGTTGGAGGCTCTGAGAACCTAACTTTTCAGAACATTATAAAGCAATGTGTATTCAAGACCCCATGCCACTGACTTGTCACTGTGAATGGAAACAGTAATGGAAACCAGCGGTGGAAACATAAATGAAATTCTACCTCCTAGAACAGATGCGTCTCTTCAAGTTATTCTTTTTGCAAACCTGGTTCTGATCCAGAACTCACTGAAATTTTATCTTGAGACAAGGACTGAATTTTGGAAATGTCAGGAAGCCTAAATTGAGGTTTGATTTTTGTTATGGTGCTTTAAGCTATTCAATAGATGATTGACCTCTTCTGTAATAATGCAATCTTAACATGAAGTACTCTGTTTAAACTACCTGAAATTGCTTGCTTAATAAAAATTGCCCTGCAGAAATTACCTAACCCAAGGAATGGATGTTGATTTGGAACAAACTTGTACTTCAATCTCTTCAAATTCTTTCAATAATACAACTTACAGTTCAGGTTGTGAGCGTTTGACACTTCTGCAAATCAGTGTGATACCAGTTGTACTGATGCCTGTCAGTAGATAATAGCATGACCATCAAACACCTATGAGAAGTTTGGGCGAATGATCTGCCCAGATTCATACTGAGATTTTCTGGCAGATGTCCATTTAGAATTTAGTCTCTTGGGTGGAATTCAACAACCTTAGCCAGGAGACCATTATTTGGTCTTTTCCCACAACTTCTTTTCCTCTCACTGCACAGCTTTCAACTTTTGCTACAAATGAAGCAGTGATCCTTCAGAAAATACTCCTACTTCATCACACATCCTAATTCATCCCAAGAGTGGAATTCTGTGTGCAAAAAGAGACTGGAATCCATAGAAAAAGTGATCACAGCTCAAATCCTTTGTACAGTGAACATGTAAGGGGATGATATGAGCCAACAAGCCAAGGAAACGTGGTTTAGATAAAACTACTGAAAAACAGATGCTTATTTGAACAATTTGAAACAGAACTTATTTGAAAACTGAGTCTGTTATCTGAGGTTTGAAGAAAAGTACAGTTTGGTGCAGACAAGCGGCAATCAGCTAGAAAAACATAAAATGAAAAATGGTCTATACTTAATCTTCTCGCTCTTAATCTTGGAATATCATTCAGTACAGTGCCAACTTGCATGCTTTGGACTTTCCACCCTTAATTCAGTCTGATGGCCTAACTATACCCACCTTACCCATAGACAAGGTCCCCATATTGACAGCAACAGTGTCCTCGTTCAGTGATTTCCATTTCCACATTACAGGCCCAAATCTTTATCCTCCCAAGTACTCGTAGCTTCCCTCAGTGTAAGCTGGACATCAGTTGGACATCTATTGGGCAAAGATGTTATACCCTGATGAAAAAGTTGTTGTTCTTCTCAAACAAAATGTTAAGGCTTTAAGACTTCAAACATGATGTGAGTGGAACATTTCAAGAAAAAACATCATACTGGTTATTCATAGGGGAGAAAAAAACAAACCAAGTTTTCTCTAATCTCAGTTGCAAATGTCCCAAGGTTGTTTCATCTGAAGCAAATTCTTGTCAGAAATCTCCTCTTACCTATATCCAAATATATGAGCAACTGAACTGGAAGGTAATTTGAGTGACAGGTGGTTCTTCTAGCAAAAACTACTATTTTTTGTTCTACTGTTTGTATCTTTTTTGTTCCTATTTATCACAGCTTCTTAAAAGGTAATTCTATCCTGCCATATTATAATTAATGCTAGCTAAAGTGAGAGAGATGTTGCTTTTTGCTTATATGCAATTAGCAAATATGTGAGTTTTAAATGCTGTGACACTGATGGACATGTTGCAGACAGAAACTGAAAATTCAATAATTAAATTATTTATCTGTGAATCCTCTTTCCTTACTCTGTCTTCTTCATGGCAGAACGCACAATAACCCTTTTTTCCCCCCTTAATTATTCCTCAAAGTCTTTCCTGAGCTTATATCGCTTTCTCTCTATGCAGCCAGAACGAAAAAGAGTAATATTCACATCTGAGAGAATCAGTATGAGCAGTGCAAACACTCTAATTGATACACCTTGTAAGAAGACTAAATCTTGATAGCTTGTTGAATATTCAAGTCTGTTTATAAGTTACTTTTCTTTACTGTAACTACTCTCACATAGGGAACGCGCTTCTATTTAATTAGCAGACTGGACATCATTGGAATGTTTATATATTACTCCAGTCCACTGCTTGTAGTTCAGCTGCTTTAAAGGCAGGTATTTCCAAAAAGAAGCAGGCTTCTCATATACCTTATTTTCATTTTTATGGTATATCCCAAGGGTTGGTGAAACAATGGCAGTAGGTTATGCTTCTTAAGCCATCTTCTTATCCTTGATTATTTCTCATGAACTGAACAAAAGTTTTCTTAAGCAATAACATTGTTTATTTTTCCCCACGTACATCTGAGAACTTCTGGATGTGCAGTATACTCTTCGGAAAAACCAAATCAATTTAAATGTCTTCTAATTTCTATCATTCACTCACTTTACAGTTAACTTATGATCCCATTCTTCATATACCTTCCTTGGAAGCCTAGTTAATTGAATTTTATCATTTGCTAGAAAAAAAAAGAGTTTAATATATCTGAAACTTTGGTGACACCTTTACAGCGATAAAGACAAAGTTTTCATTACTCTTTATCTCCCATATACATACTTAATCAAAATATTGAGCGTTTTCCAGATTTTTAGCACAAAAGCAACGTGTTTTTTGAGAAAATATCTTTCCTCTACACGTTCAGTTCCACCCTCTAGTTAATTTATCATTCTTACAGAGCTACATGCCTGAATGCACATAATGAATACATATATTAATCAAAATTTTATTTTGTTGTGTGAGTAAATGAACCTGGTGTAAGATTTAATTTTGTTCTGTGTAATGATTTAAAGCAGCATATAAAGCACTTATGGTACTAAATACATGGTATCATTCATTACCAGAAAAGAGTTTATGTTCAATAGGAAACTGATTGTGCCATTCAGAAAATCTTCAGGCTCTTGTGGAGAAAGGTACAACACTAGACATTTGTTTTATAGCTAATCTGGTAGGAACATGTATATTTAATATTTGAAAGGATGATTCTATATAGTCTCTTTCATTACCTTCAAAGTACTATGAGTGTGCTGCAATCCTCTTCCAAAATACATTAACTGGATTAGATCAAAGATCCTGTAACTAGTAAAACCACAGTTTATATAATGTTTTTAGAAGCAACTCAACCAGCATACACTAAAAACAGCACAGACTGTGTTTATTTCTTGCTAGTTTGCTAATATTGTTCAGACTTCTTTCTTCCATTTACTCACTACTGTATCAGGAATGGCAATAGAAAAAGTATTTTGTAATTCACACAAATACAGGATAAAGATGTTACTTCTTCCAATAGGTAAAGTCTTCTAAGAACTGATTAATCATTCCTTAGATAAAATAAAAATTCATTAGATATGAACAAGTCCTAGCTAATGTTACATTTGGAAAGACTGGTTCTTTGAGGGTTAAATTTTAATGAGAGCGTTGGCCAAAACGTCAAACCCTAGTGAATGCAATAGCTGTTCAGGCACATAGGGTTTAGGCAGCAAAAATAACTGAAAAAAAAAAAAAAAAGTTGGCCAGACTTGAAATTTAAGCAGAACATGTATGCACACAAGTAAGGAAGCAGCATTTGTTCTCCACACTTTTTTTCCCCCCCCCCCCCTTTTTTTTTTTCTTCTTCTTCTCCTCTCAAACAAAGCTAGCTCTTAATTCTACTGATCTCAGGAGTCAGGAGGCATCCCTGTGCCTGACTGGCAGTTCTGGCCAGAAGTGGCCAGTGTGGTGTGCCTGGTCTGGAATGTGCGATTTATGCCTTTTCATTAGCTCAGAGCTGCATCCATTTAAATGCCTATTTAAGACTAGCAAATCAAGTACAGACCGGTGAAAACTAATGTAATTATTTCATTGCTATTTAGTTATAATTCATATTTTGGTCTATTATTTCTTGGTATATTTTTTCTGGCTGCATCAAAGACTAGGAGTATAGAGTCTCCCCAAGAGAATCTCTTTTCAAACTTAAATTCTGGCCAATCTCAACTTTATAAACTGACTGAACTGCTTTTCCTAGCCTGGGTTCTCCTCAGGGCTTTCACCTCCGTGGAGTAGTTATAAAACAAGGTTATTTTAAGGGGAAACAGTCCAAGAAACCGATAAAACTGGTACAAAATTAAAGGAAAAGACTTGTTAGTTTACTTTAATTTTATACCTTGGTACACTTCTGTGCAAGATTAATTGGACTGAAATATCAGTCATGTACACACACTATGTAGCTAAGGTTTCGAACCCACTTGAAACAGGAGTTTCTGAAAGCATGAATAGAACAACTTAGTGGACAAGGATACGAAAGGAGAAACATAGCGAAACTTTTCATTACAAAGTGGCTCTCTGTCTCAGGAGGTCTCTGAAGAGTGACTTGTTGATTTACGATGGGAAAGCAGTGTTACGTGTTGGCCTTACCTTAAGAGTTCTGACCAAGGCATCTGTTGTTGCTCATTAATAGTTGTATAATCATGTCCCTCTGGGTCCAGCCAGTCCATGTGGTCTCATGAATTCAAACCAAGAAACATACATACAGATAGAGGGAGAATATTAGTTTCATTCAAAATCAAAACTCAGAAGTAATTAAAACAAAAAACCATAGTCTTCATTGATTGGCCAAAGGACACTAGTAGATTCAGAAAGTTTTAGAAAAAAAGAAAAATCTCCATGCAAATTTGATTCTTTTTTTGTTTAAGATAATTACTAGCAAAGATGAAAGGGGCTATGAAAACTGTTTAGCTTTTTATCATTTAAATAATGTCTCAAAAGTAATTTATATCCATTCAGTGTAGAATCGGTGACATGTAATTGAAAATTAATTATGCAAAGGTTCTTGACATGAAGAAATGTAATAGTAGTGGCAAACAAATGGATTGAGAATATGGCAAGTGATTTAGGGAACAGAATAAATAAAAGCCTTAATGAAACACACTTGAAAAAAATGAGAGAGAAACTGCAAATAGCTATGAAAGAATTATACAAAAGGAATTAGAGACACCTAAAATGTGAGAAGACTAAAGAAGAATTTGAAAATTAGAAAAAGTGTGAAACAATGCAATGAGAAATTTGCTGAAATTCAGCTATTCTGTACAAGAGAGAAATATGGAGAGAAGTGTAGCATACTGCAGAGGATAAGAGAGATTTTCCACAAACTAAGAAAACAATCTATTAACACTTTTTTCTGTCTGGCTTAGAACTTTCACTCTGAAGTTTCGATTGATGTTCTCTTAAACCAAAATTGAGCTTAATTGAACAAAACAAAATGTTTCTTCTCACTGTTCAAAATGTTTCAACTGAAAACTGACATGGAAGAGTGTACATTTTAAAACAGGTCTTCAGGAAACTAAACATGAGCTATTTCCCCCCAGGTATAATATTTCTTTACAGCAGCAGTCAAGTAGCAGTTGTGGAGTCATATCTGTTGAGATGGGAAGGCCTTGGCTTAAAGTAGTTAGCCTGGATGCCTTTTTGTTTACTGCAGAAACAGCATAGGAATAGCAGAAGTACAAATACGAATGGGGGAGGGGGTGGAAAGGCTCACAACTACAGAGAACATTGCCTTAATTACCTACCTTTTGTGTAGGTTTTTCTGGCAGGACACACTGGAGCAGAAGATAGCTGTGCTCATGAGGACATTGAGGTATCTTTGCACCCTGACTCTTTCATCACCCACATTAACTATTTTGAAAATTGCTATATTCTCAATTCACTATGGAGTTTAGCTATATTCATTGCAAAGGGATTTTCCCACACTCCAAATCTGATTATTGCCAAGCAAGGAATGGCAGCTGAACAAACATTTGAAAATGCAGTGCATTAAAAATGCCTTTTAGGAATGAGGATGTCAGCAATTGCCTTCTTTGTTCCTCTACCACTTCACCAAAAGACCAAAACAGACCCTCCAGCGTGAGTTCAGGAATCAGAGAAAGGCAGGAGTGATGGAAAGGTTTGTCTCATGTTGGCAAGAAGACTGTATCACATGAGAGAGGACAGTGCTCCATCCAGATGCTCTCCATGATATCAACTACTATGGCTTGATAGTCCTTGAGGCTGGATCTCAAATTCCTGCAAGATCACAAGGACAGGAGAGCATAGAGTTGCTCACTAAATACAGGGCATCATGACCTCCAGACCTCTGGAACTGCTGCAAC